TTCCCCAATCATCACCTCTGCCTCCGCCTGCGCCACCCTCCCAACTGCCTTCTGTACTGGTGGGGTGAATTTAAGATGATCAGTAATTAGATTTCATACAGGGAAATTTTTAATAAACTTATACATTTTCTATGTATAGAATCTAATAATGGTGGGCTCATCTTAAATTTAGGTTACCCTTGCTTTTTTAGGCCTTTTTTTAACTAGGAGAGCTTTACCAGGTACACCATTATACAGATGCAAATCCTTCCTTTCCCCTCACATGCACATAGACCTTTTCATAACTTTTTTTCTCAATTTCAAAGTTTTTTCTGGAATGATATTAAGCTACACCAAAAAAGGGTGATGTAAGTGTGTACATGAGAGATAATAATGATATGTCTGTGGTTTATATTAAGGTTTTATTTTTAAAAGAATACCTCCTTTGTATTGAGAGCTGTGGAGTTCTCCCTTCTGATCAGGATCAATGTAACAGTATCGTGGGTGTGAATACTTTTGTCACTGCTGGTACTGTATCTATTTTAAGGGCATTGTGGCAATTTTAATTGAGACAAAATTCCCATGTACAAAATAAGCTGTAAATTTATTAATTGAAACACTGCTTTGTTCTTTTTAGGAGTTTTCAGAGGGAAGTCTGAGCAAGTAAAGGAGTGTCAGGAGCTTCTGGATCCTGTGCTTCAACATACAACAGAAGGTACTGTACAAAAGCAGTTATTACAAGGTCTTACTAGTTCGTCTGAGTTACCTGAACCTGAAAGCAAACAGCCAGACCCCTTCTTTCTTTTACAAATTGTATTGCAAAAAGCTTTATTGAAAGAAAGATTAAACCAAAATGGAGAGAACATGCTACTTTTGTGAAAGTAGGGCTTCACAGAAAAACTATATTAAACTTAAGGCAATCAGGACTCGTAGAGATGATAGCGTTTATTAGACCAACAAGATTTTTGCAAAAAAATTCTTTAATTGCAAGCTTTTGGGCACAAACACCCTTCATCCGGCATTGGAGAAGAGATTGTAAAAGTTCCTCTCGGTAGAAAAGAAAGTTGGTATTTCATAGGATTTCACAGAGGAGTCAATAGATGGAAAACTCCTTTGGGCAGTCAGTTCATAGCTGGTATGAAGCCTATCAATTCATGAGAGGATCTGTGATGATGCAGATTACCTTGAAACAAAGGCAGGAGCAGGATCTCAGGTTTCAGGTGCTCACAGCTGCATCCTGCTTGTGAAAATATGAAGATTTTTTAAAAATTGGCTAAAATTCGATATCTTCTGCATGTCAGGTATCAAGGTAATTTGCATCATCACAGATCCTCACAGGAGGTGAGAGGCTTCATGACAACTATGAACTCATTGCCCAGAGGAGTTTTCCATCTGTTGACTCCTGTGAAATCCTATGAAGTACAAACTTTCTTTTATACCCAAGAGAACTTTTACAATTTTTTTCTCCAATGCCTGATGAAGGGTGTTTGTGCCTGAAATCTTGCAATTAAAGAATTTTTTTTGCAAATATCTTGTCAGTCTAATAAAAGATATCATCTATACTACCAATCCTGATTGCCTTTTTCTCTAGACCAATACGGCTACAACCTGGATACCATACATATTAAACTTCATTCATTTAATCTATAAAAATCTATCCAATCATAAAAGGAGTTAACTAGAACCATTATCTTTACCTAGATATCACTTTTTCCTCATGTTAACAATTTATAAAATTTAAAATGACTAGTGGTGAAATGTATGTAACTATTAGCACTGACAGTATTTGATAGTGACAAATAAGTAATTGTTTGAATAAATCACTGGTTTTTAGGTTCTACTGCTTAAAAAAAATTATTGGCCAGAAGTCAAATTAATACAATTGAAAGGAACAAATTGTCTGACTCCTGATTAGATGGTAATTTTTATTAATAGCGTAACATTTTGGACTTCTTGTATGCTCAGATTGGTTTTGGAGGTAACATTTGTCTGTGTTGGACATCAGTGGTACTGTGGATTTTCTGTGCTAATTCTGTTTTAAGATAGTAGTAAAGTTACAAAAGATGCAGGAGTTTTCTAGTCTTTTGAATTGCTCCTGGGGGAGAGTAATTTTCACACTATATCAAGCAAACACCAATTTTGCCACCTCCACTGATCCTCCTTCTCTCTACAACATCAGAGACTATATTTAAAAAAAATTAAAGTGGTCTATGGGAAGAATCTTGTGTTGTTTACAGTGTTGCTAACCTTTTGTCATGTCTGTT